ATATCTTACTAAACTTTACTGCCAACTCTTCTAATCCACACTACCTCTCTATACTACATGCAATTACTGGTACCTTTTTAACTACTATATATAACAATATCAAAACATTACTCAACAAACATACTGACTCTTTTCTTATTAATCTTTCTAATAATCTTTTATCTTGGTACTGTCAAGAACTATGGTCTATTTGTAACATCCATCAACATCAATGGAAACTCTCTTGAAATATCACTGCCAAAGCTCACGTACAATTCCAGAATAAAAATGGCGAGCATTTTTTTTTTCTAAGACTACATCTGCTAAATCATCAAGTGCTTTTTCAAGTTTATCAGCATCTTTCTTGGCCGGACAACGATCCACGCTAAAGGTCCCGATACTAATAAATACCATATATGCTTTACATTTAGACAAATTCGGTAAAGTTCCTTCTTTGTACTTATTAAAAAGTGATCCCATATTATTAAATACATCTTTGACTTCTTCATCTATTTGTTCTGTTACCGGTCTAATCTTATAATTTGATGATATATACTCTCGTAGTAACATCCATATGTCTTCAACTTTTTCTTTGCGTACTCCATCTGACATTGCGTTATCCTTCATTTCGTTCATAATCTGTTCCCTAGCTTTGTTAATTATTTCAAGACATTCAGATGAAAGATCTTTTCGAATAAAGTTGGCTTCGAGTATTCGAATAAGTTTTATACTGTAGATGATAAAACATAATGTCGCTGAATATAATCCTCGAAAGTTCGCCTAATTTCCATTTCGCATTTTTCATCTTTTTTATTATCTTTAAGGTAGTTTCCTAAATCATCTCTTTCTTGATTTGCTTTCTTGCATTCATCACAATTCTTATTACAACCTGGAACACCCATTAACCCTTCTTTAAAAATTCAGAACATTTATTTTTAAGATCAGAATTTGTTTTATGGTCATGAGACCATTTAAGAAGCTCTGTACGAAATTTTTGCATAATCTGTTCCTCGTGTTGGAAGAATGCCTCGTTTATAGTTTCTTTTACCTTTGCGATTCGTTCACCAAGATAAATGAAATCATAAATCTCTTTAATATTTCTAAATCGAACAGCAAAACCCTCATGAGAGACAGCCCTCCAATAGCCTTGAATTAATGAACCCCATTTTGTAAATTCAATTCTCTCAAGTGAGTTTTTACAATCGTCAAGTATAGAATTATATAAATCAACGACATCTTCATGATATTGTCCCGATGGCGGAGCATGAGCAGTTGCTCCATTTTTGAATGGTCGAAATTGTTTAAGTAGCTGGCCTTTTTTTATTCTTTCATCAAGAATCTGAAGACACTTCATACTAGATATTCCCACCGCAGTATCTTTTTCATTTGCTATTGTCAAAGCCTCGTGGAGAGCTTCTCGAAATTTCTCTTCTGGCTCAGAAAATTTTGACATATTTCGTTCGGAAACATGTTGTACCATACGAATATTAGGGGCCATACCAGCCTCTTCAAGGCGTGCAATAGTTACAATAGCTATCTGTAAAATTTCGGTCAAGTCACGCGTAGATTCTCCAAGTACATTAAGAATCGTTAAATTGCTAATTCCCATTGCAAATGTTGCTAACATTCTATCTTTTTTTTCGGATTCTGGTTCATTCATCTTTTCCGGCGCACCAAGGCCTTCGGTATCAATCAGAACAAACGCATCAACGCCAAGATGATCAGATAAATCTTTTTCCAAAAATAATAGTCGCATAAAAAGACCTCTAGTACAGCGTCCAACCGAAACTGCAAATTTACATGCAAAAAGAGCATTTAAAAGAGTTGACTTTCCCGATGATTGTAATCCAAGAATGCTAACCACAAAAATTCGAAGGTTAGGGTATAATCTGCTGACGTGCTTGCAAATAGCCGAAAAAAAAGCTTCAGCTATAGTTCCAGTGTCACCATCAAGTAGTTCAATAGTATGTCCACTAATTAAAAGTTCCGCATAAAATTTTGGCGACTTCATAATTTCAACGTTTTTACCTTGAACAGAAATAATTTTATTTATCCGGCAGCTTACTATGATAGTGCTTGCCAAATAACTCGAGTTATTTGGCAGTGATTACGTCATCTGCCA